CGCCTGCCCCCCATGGGGGCCCTGGCCCTGCCCGGGGGGGTGGGCGAGGGGGACCCCTGGCTCCCTGAAGCCCCCGCTCTCCTACTTTTGGGGCGCCTGGCAGCTGCCGACGAGCCCAGCCGAGCCCTGGCCACTGCCCCTGTCATTTCGGGGCTCCTCCGCTACCTGACAGGGGTCTCTGCCCCGGCCCCCCGGGCTGCCCGGGTGTTGCAGCGCCTGACAGGACACCCTGCTTTTTTGGGGGCGCTGGTCCGGGCTTACATCCCCTCCCTGCTCCACTCCTGGCTGGTCCTCGGCCTAGCACCGTCCCAGGCCGAGGAGCTGTCACAGCCCGGGGGACTCAGGCATACGGCTGCCCCCCCGCACCCGCGCCAGGCACGCCTCAAGGAGTTGGGTGAGTTGGAGGGGGGGCCTTTGGGGGGCTAACTGGGAGCCATGCTGGCCTTTGGGGGTTCGGGGGGGTACATTTGGTACATTTGGGTACATTTCCTCAGGGTGTCCTGGCTGACCTTTGGGGGTCTGGGGTTGTTGCTGGGAGTCCCACAGGGAGCCTGGTTGGCCTTTGGAGGTCTGTGAGGTGTAGCCAGAGGTCGCTGAGGAGTCCCTGCGGGATTATCGGGCATCTCTGGGGGTTCCTGCGGGACTTTGGGGGTTCCTTGAGGTCCTGAGTAGTCTGGGTGTCCCTGGGAGGCTGTTGGAGGTCCCCGGGGTGTCACAGTTGGCCTTTTGGGGATTTCTGGGGGAGTCCTGAGTGGTCACTGGGGGGATTCTGGTGGCTTTTGGGAGTCCCCATTTGTCCCGGGCGGGCTTTTGGGATCCCTGGGAGGGTCTTTGGGGGTCCTTGGAGGACTGCTGGGGGTCTCGAGTGCTGTTCTGGGTCTCCCAGGGTGACCCTGGGGGGCAGGGGGAGGAGATAGGATCCAGAGTGGGGTCCTATGGACCTGACCCCCGTTATCCCCCCCAGGTGAGGGACTCTTGCGCAACCTGGGGGCAGCGGCGGCAGCCCCCTTCGGCGTGGGGCTGCTGACCCACATGCTGCGCTGCGGGGCCCCCCCGGCCCGCCTGGCCTGTGCCACCGCCCTGCCCCTGCTCACCAGGTACTGACCCTGTAGCACCCCCGTAGAGCCCTTTTCTGCCCCCCCCCGAACTGGCCCACGACTGCCCCAGGGGTCCCTTACCTGCTTTCCTGCTGAGCCCGTATGTCCCCCATAGAGCTCTCTCTGTTACTGATACAGACCCTGCGGTGTCCCTGTTGTCCCCCGTGCCCCCCCCAACCAGCCCTGGAGTTCACCTGGGGGGTTCCCTCGCGGATTCCTGCTTGTTCCCTTGTTTCCAGTCTCCTAGAGCCCCGCAGGATCCGTATAGGGTCCCAGAAACAGCCTGTAGATCCCGCGCCAGTGTGGAGAGTAGATTTCTTTAGCCGAGGCAGCGCGGCTGTTACGTGTTTTCTGTAGGGGGCTCCGTAGATCCGCCGTAGCCAATCTTGTAGGTATTTCCCGTAGGTAGTCTGTAGGTTGCCTCCGAGTGCCGCGTAGCGAGCACAATAATTTCCTGTAAGTCCTCTGGATCCCCAGTGCCCGCGTCTGTAGGGCCCCCCGCAGGACTCCCACCGGCAGCCCTGTAGGTTCCCTGTAGCTGCCCCGTAAGCGGCGCTGTTCGTCCCCTACAGAGGCCTCGCAGGCAGCCCCGTAGGTCTCACAGATTTCCTGCTTATAGCCTTATAGTTCCCCTGCAGATGTCCTGTATGTTCCCTCTGCGTGCGCTGCCGTGTCATTGGCACGTCCTTGATGTGTCATAGGCACGTGCAGCCCAAAGCCCCCCGGGGTGGGGGGTGGCCCCAGACCCTATAACGACACCCACGCGTTGGTGTGACATCGTTGGCATCACGATGGTGTGACCCACAGCGTTGGCGTGACCCGTGACGGCATCGCCTACCGCCTTGGCGTCGCGCTGCCGTGACCCACATCATTGCCAGGACCTGTGGCAGTGGTGTCCTGCTGGTGCGACCCAGTGTTGATGTCACGTTGGCGTGACCCATGTCACTGGCGTGACCCACATTAGCGGCGTCACGTTGGCATGACCCACATCGCTGGCGTGACTCAAGTCATTATTGTCACGTTGGCATGACCCATGTTGTTGGTACGACCCTTGGCACTGGTGTGGCGTCAGCGTGACCCTTGGCATCCCTTTGCCATGATGCTGGCGTGATACGTGTCCTTGGCATGTGCAGGCCAGCGTCCCCGGCACGGGGGCTGCTGTGGGGAGGGGGGGCGGTGGCCCTGCTGCTCTCGGCAGTGGCCCGGGGCCCCACGTCCCCCTACGAGCCACCCCCAGCCTTCGCACTCTATGCTGCCGATGCTATCGCCCTCCTGCGGGGACATGCTGGGGACGCGCCGGGGGATGGCGAGGATGCGCCAGGACACACCGGCGCCAAGGACCCGCAGGTACGGCCCTGTGGCGTGCCAGGGACGCGCAACGGGGCGGTGGGGACACGTGGCAGGGCATCGGGGAGGTGCGGGTGGGGGCGTCGAGGCCGCAGGAGGTTGTTGGGCGTGGGAAGGATTGTTGTGAACCTGCGGGGACATCGAGGACCTGGCTGGGGACGTTAGAACCGTTGGTGGCGCACGGGGCTGTCGGGCATCCCTCGAGGATGCCTGAATGGGGACCCGTGGGGGGACACGGGGAATGCCCACGGACTCACAGGTGCTCTCGGGGACACGGGGGACCCGCAGGTGCGTGGAGATGGGGACACCGAGGACCCGTGCGGCCATGGGGATGCTGAGGACCGGTGGGGACAGAGGGACAGACGTGGGGATAGTGGCGACACCCCTGGGGAGAACGGTGACCTGCAGAGACCTCTGGACCGGCACAAGGAACTCAAAGACCCGTGGGGACACGCAGGTGCCTTTGGGGACACCGAGGACACCTGGGGACACGTGGATGGCCACGCAACCTCTCCAGCAGATGGACACGGTGACACTGGGGATGCGCAAGGGCGTGCCGATGAACGCGGGAACCCGTGGGGACACGCGGACAGGCTGAGGGACGCTGAGGACTTGTGGGGATCCAGAGGATCCCTGTGTATCCTGTCCTCTGTGATCCTCTACCCTCCGCCCATGCTGTCCCCTATATCCCCAGCATCTCCAGAGCCATTTTCCCCGGGGTCCCCCTGTCCCGAAGGGTCCCCGAGAGCTGCTAAACGTCCCCGAGCATCCTCTTGTCCCCAGCTGTCCCCAGACCCTCCCAACCTTAATTCCCAAGAGGCCCCAAGACCCCCCAAATGTCCCCTACTATCCTCTTCTCCACTGTCCCCGGACATCCCCAGCCCCTGTTCCCAGGTGTCTCTGAGGTCCTCCGACCCATGTCCTCAACTGTCCCCGTGTCCCCCATTGTCCCCAAACCCCTGCAACCCCCATCCTCAACCATCCCCGTGTCCCTGGGTGTCCCCAGTGTCCTCCAGCCCATCTCCTCAACCATCTCCCTGTCCCCAAGCCTCCCCAAGCTCCAACCCCTGTCCCCAAACCTCCCCAAACTCCTCCAACCCATCTCCACCACTATCCCCGAGGTCCCCCAACCCGTGTCCCCGAGCGTCCCCAAGCTTATCCGACCCACCTCCACCACCATCCTTATGCCTCCAGACATCCCCAGGGTCCTCGAACCCGTGTCCCCAGCCGTCTCCCCATCCCCAAGCCTCCCCAAGTTCCTCTAACCCCTGTCCCCAAGCTTCTCTGAGTTCCTCAAACCCGTCTCCAGTACCGTCTCCAGGCCCCCAAGCATCACCACCCCCCCCAGCCACCTGTACCCCTGTGTCCCCAACGTGTCCCTATTCCCAGACCCCCCATGACCTCCTCCTCCTACCCAACGGTACCCACCCAGGGGTGCCGGTGGCCCGGGCAGCCCTGACCCAGGGGTCCCCTGTCTTGGGAGCCATGTTGGGGGGGGCCTTTGCCGAGGCTCACCAGTCAGCGGTGGCCTTAGGCTGTGCCCCCCGCCACCCTCTCCTTCTCCTCCTCCATTTTGTCCATGGCTGCCGGGGCAGCCCCAGGAACGGGTGTCCCCTCCTGTGTTCCCCTGTGTCCACTGGCACTGCTGTCGCTGCCGTCGCCTTGGCCCACCGTTACCTGGTGGACGGCTTTGAGGATGTGATGGCCACTGCCGTCACTGCATCCCCCAGTGCGCTCTGGGTCTTGGCCGAGCGGTGGGGTTGCGCCCTGTTGGCCACTCGGGCCGCCCAGGCTATTTTGGAGGGGCCACCCCACAACGTGGCCCCCCGCTTGGTTCGGGTAGCCCAGCTGGCTCGATGTCCCCCTCGCCTGGCCCGGGCCTTGATGACTGCTGTGGCACCCCAGGGGGCCCAACCCCACCTTGATATGGGAGAGCCAAGGGGTTGGGATGACCCCCTGCTGCGACCCCCTAGAGGCACTGATGGGGACCTCAGAGATGTCCAGGAGGACCTTGGAGACCTGGAGGGTGACTTTGGGGTCCCTTATGAGGACCTTGGGGACACCGATGGAGACCTCAGCAACATGGTGGACCCCTTTAGGGACCCCTCTAGTGATCTCGGGGACTCCTTAGGTGAAGATAATGTGGACATGGAGGTCAAGGGGCCTCTCTAAGACCTCGGGGACCCCCAGCAGGACCTTGGGGACCACTGCATGGTTATTTGGGGACCCCTTAGATGAAAACATGGAGGTCAGGGACCTCTCTAGGACCTTGGGGACCACTGCATGGATGTTGGGGACCCCTTAGGTGAAGACATGGAGGTCAGGGACCTCTTAAGACCTTGGGGACACCTTCAGGGATCCCTCTGGGTGTTAGGGACCTCTTAGATGAAGATGGTGTGGACATGCAGGTCTGAGGACTTCTCTAAGACCTTGGGAGCCCTTTTCACAGGTCTTGGGGATCCCTTACACTAAAATCAGGACATGGAGGTCAGGCAGGGGACCTTTCTGAAACTTTGGGGACACCCTGGAGTATCCCTTTATGGCTGTTGGGGACCTCTTAGAGATGAGGGGGACAAAGAAGTCAGGAGAGGTCTCTTGAGATCTTGGGGATGCCTTTAGGGACCTTGCGGAGATGGAGGATGCTTTCAGAGACCTCCATGGGGACCTTAGGGAGGGTTTTGTGGACTTAAGTCTTGGGGATCCCTCCGTGGGTGTTGGGGACCCCTTAGATGAGAATGAGGAGGACATGGAGGTCAAGTGACCTCTCAAGACTTCGAGAACACCCACTGATCTTGGGGATGCGCTGAAGGATCATGGTGACTTTGGAGACTCCTCAGATGAAGATGGGGACAGGGAGGTTGAGGGACCCACGTCGGGACCTCAGGGACCCCCTCGAGGGCCTGGGGGTCCTCCTCTAGATGTTACGGCTTTTTTTGATGGTGAAGATGAGGCAAGGGAGACGGAGGAGCCCCTCGGCGACCTGCTTGAGGACCCTGGGGACCTCATCTAGATGTTGAGGCACTTCTTTTGTGATAATGAGGTGGGAGACACCCCCCCCACCCATGGGGACCTCGGGAGCCCCAAAGGTGGCATGCAGAGAGAGGAGGCCCAGATTTGGGGAGGGCGTCACAGTTTCGGGGCACGCACACTGCCCCCGCCCCCGGGGCGAGGGGCACCCGGTTGCGGTTGATTTCACGGGGTTTGGGGTCGCGGCTGTAGCGAAGGGCACGTTCAATAAAGGAGGTGAAACTGCTCCCGCGGGGCGAGGATCCACAGCCCCGCGTCCCGCGGGCCCAGGCAGCCGCCGCCCTCGTCCCGCTCCCGAGGCCGCCGGCGTCCGGGCCGTTCCCTTCCCGAGGAGTGTCGTCCCCCGCTCCTCCTCCTCCTCCTCCTCCTCCCTCGCACGGGCCAGGCCCCGG